TCCAGGAGAATTATCACAGATAGGAATCTTACCCCTACTAACGGAGCCATGAGACCAGCAGGAAGATCATAGTACATTGCAGTTGGTATAATAGGCTCAGGTATGGGAGGTTCAGGTGGCATCTCATACTCCTCCATGCCATACCCCTCCTCTTCTTGCATTCTGCCATGATTGTAGTCATTCACCATGGGTGGAGGAAGCCCTCTACCCTCGTACTGCTCAAACTCTGGCATCTGGTGTTGATAGTCAAACTGTTGTGGTGGACCACGGAATTGCGGTGGTGGTGGCCTGTGTTAAAGCCACAGGGATAGTAAAGTTAACAAATATTCTTTAGTAAGAAATGAGGATCACACAATTTACCGTCTGAAGTACCTCTTGTAACTGCCTTAAATCGCTTACAATTTTTGAACATTCAACTGGTCATAGCATTGCCCTATCAGTTTGAAAACTTGTTTTACCTGTTAGACTTAAAATAAGGGAAAACACTAGCAATCACAATTGGCATTGATGACCCTTCATTTAGAGCTTAAGTTCAATATAAATGATGGGATATGGATTGCAAAAGTATGTATTGATCACTTCTATGATAAATAAGGCTACAGTCAATATAAATTTGAGGTCAATTTGTAACATAGCATTATCACCAATAATGTTGACTGTGACATTTTAACTGTCATGATGCTACTCTTTGACCAGCCATTAAGTTGAATGATAAAATACAGCTCTCTGTTTAACTGCTGCATGCTAATTCCTCTTTTATGGTGTATAATGGAGCACTGCTATTGTATCTAATTTTCAGTGTCAACCCACCTCACATGGTATCCTTCATCGTGGAAGTTAGGGGGTCGGGGCCCACCAAACATGGGTGGGGGGTGTCTGAAATCTGGTACGTAGGGTGGAGGTGGAAAATGAGGAGGAAATGGTGGTGGGCCACGCCCATAGAACTGGGGTCTCTGATCACCAAATGGGGGAGGGAAGGGTGGAGGATGTTGCTGATAAGGTGGTGGTTGGTATGGTTGCTGCATGGTTGCCTCCTTCTGCTGACACAATAGATAGGTTATCAGTGAGGGAACAGAGTGAGGTTGTAGCTTAAACTGTTGTGAATGTGATGCACACCAAGGCCTTATGAAAGTACTTTTTACACTAATTCAGAGTTAAAACTAAGGTCACTTGCAGCAGAATCTAGATAAATCACAATTGTTTTTTTTTCTTCTTGCTTTGAAAAGGATACTATTACTCTACTTTTCCATACTGTTTACTAAGCACAAATGGACAAAACGTTGAATTCAGTGTATTATCAAGAGCCAATCACTTTGCTAATCAGGGACTTTTCCTTTTAGTTTGATAAACTAAAGTAGTAGAGATAGTAGAGAAAAATTTCAAATTTCTTTGGTGAGGAACAGGATAATAATTCTTTTAAGCTTGGTCTGCTGTTAACAAGCTGTTCTCAAAAGGCTTTCACTGTACAAGAAAGGTACATTAAGTCTACTTTTGAGCCCAAACTTTTGGAGCTCATTAGCAACCTCATTGTATGGAATGCAGGATCATTCTAGTGTTACCCACCAGCATTTCATTAGGTTTCCCCAAACAGTTTGCTAAGCACAATGGTGTACTCTTGGGTGGAGAGAGGCACCAAGAGTCAAGTGCTTTGCCAAAGAACAGAACACAATGACCCAGGCAGGGTTTAAACCCAGGCCTCTCACAGCCTCTTTGACTTTAAACATATATGGTTGATTTCCTCTTATTTCTGGGCCAAAACCCAGATTACGATTAAAGAAAAGCATTTATCACACAACCAGAAGTTCAAAACCTTTACATTTTGCACTCTTGTCTCAGCATCTTCTGATGGTATTTGCTCTGCATTTTCTTCTTTTCCTTTTTCAATGACCTGTTGTTTTGCCTCATCCCCTGTTCCTTGGGAGCCTCCCTCTACTGTTGGCTGCTTCAAATTATCTGAAGAAATCCATTTGGCAAACTTTTAGGAACTTTCTCTAAGTTGTTTGTAATGAAGGTTAAATGAAATCTAGTTTGAACTGGCTACTTCATTACATGAAGATTTGCCAAACAAAAGCCATCTTGTTGTAAATCATGACCAGACATGCCCAAACTAAATTCATGTATCAGAACAATTCTCCACTACTGAACTCATGAAAGACTAAGGAACTCTCTAGTGGTGAACACAGGTTGAAGTACCTTCTCTTCCAGGAGCTTGCTGGTCTGATTGTGGATTCTGTTGGCTATCTTGTGGCTGCTGATAATGTGGCTGATGGCGTTCAGGTGCAGTATAAAAACCTTGACTAAACATCTGCTCACGAGCTGCGTCAACTTTACTCTGGCCTGCTTCAGTGTTTTTCAGTTCCTGAAGGTAATGTCAAACATTTATATCAGGAAAATTATGATTTCAATTTCTGCTCATTTGCAATTGATAACTTTAAGTAACAATGAAGAGTAACTAAACTGTGTTCAAAAGTAAACAAATGAGATACTTTTTAGAAACAATTTACTGTACAAAGGCAATAAACAATAAATATTAAAAAGTGGTATCAATATTTTTGCTTACAAAGCTTAAATGTGATTTTCCAATCATTATGATGTGAAATTCTTTGAATGTTGCTTCAGAATGAGACTCGACCCTTTAACTACCATGAGTATCCAAACAGAATTTATCCTTACAATATCAATAAAACATTGAGGAAACAAGTGATTAGAATAAAGGGAAAAATATCAATTAGGGGTTTATTAGTTGATTCGATACCAAATTCTCCAAAGTAAAATCATAAGAATTATATGGCAGACAGTAAGGAGAATCACTTAAGAGATCTTGAGGGCAAAAGGGCTAACAGGACACATTAAAATTGTACTACTATCAATTTTCATTTTCACAAAAAATTTTAACAAAATTCAGAAACTTGCCTGTAGGAGAGATGGGTCAAAAAGATTATGACTTTCCCAAATTCCTAAGACTTTTGTTATTTTCTGCAGATTTTCTGCTGATTCCCCTATCTGTGTACAAAAAAACAAAGGTACTACAATATCCTCAAGACTCTTCTGAAGGTCCTGAGCTCCTTTCCTTTGACAGTGGTGCAGAATATCATTCACAAGGTAAACAATGTGAAGTTTGTGTTGAAACTGCATTCCAGGGCCAAGGGCTCTACAAGATATTAGACAAAAGAAGAGGAGTCAAGAGCATGATAAGATGAAAGTGATTAAAATGTTACTTCTCCCTACAACATCAACATATTTTCAAGCAAACAGGTAACGAGAATAGACAACATTATTAGTGAAGGGTGTTATTTAACACAAATTCTTGCAACCAGTTTGACAGGAAAAGTGATGCAGCAGCATAGGAGGACTGCAAAACAATCTTGAGGTGAACATTAATACAGACAATTCTTCATTACACTTTTAATTCGAAAGTGCAACCTTATCCTTTTGTGTGCGGAAAATAAATATCATTCAGGGTAACCTCCCCTTATAAATAAACAGAGGGATAGGGAGGGGTGGGTGAGCAGTCAAGGAGAGTGGGTGAAAAGAAGAGGTAATGTAGTTTTATTCTAATATCTGTGGTGTAGACAACACTGACTAGTGATAAATAAAAGATAAATTATCTAACTAAATATCATAGCAGTTTATAGGTGTCTACCTCTTTAGCAGATACTGGGAAATCTGAAAGCAACTTGTCTTTGTCTTGGAATTGTTGAAAATAAAGTTCTTTCCACTCTACAAGATGAAACATATTACTAAGTGTTAGATGTCAATCTGTGTTTTGTGGTCAAGGGACTCCATATATTTCTTGTTGAAAATGAAAACTTTAGTGTTTTCATTCCAAAGAAAGATTAGTGTTAAATAACAAGGGAATTTTCTCCATGTCTGAATCAAAAAATAGCTCATGCCATCAGAATAATGGGTGAAAATTTTCCCAACCATAAAAAAAGGAATATCCCATATTATTGTGAGGCAAGACAGTCCTATGGTAAATCCAAGTGATCTGATTGGTTTTTTTACTTAGTCCACACTTGGCCAAGTGGACCATTTCCAGGGAAATGGTCATGAGCCCTGTATCTTAGTTTGCAAAAGCCAAAATTAAAACTAGACAAGTTTGGTCTGAGTACTATATAATAAACTACTCAATAACCTTGATTGCTTGAGCCATACTGGAGAATATTGGCACTTAATCTTTACTGGTACAACCTCAGGCCAACAATCCCCAGTATGACCCCTACCCTCCATTAGTAAGAAATAATTATCAAACAATGTTCACATAACTCAGAAAAATCTGATTTCATTTCATCTCCAATTATTACAAACTCCAAACTCAAAAAATCATTACATATCCAAGAAGTAGGTGAAAAAAGACCTAACTGCTTACAGATATAGAATCTTTTGTGCATGACTCCATAATCTTATGCAACAGGTTTTCTAGTTCTGTCACATCAACTTCACTGGGTTGTTGCTGAACAGGAACAGGAGGCTGATATATGGCTGTAGTGGCTTGGACCTGCTGTTGAAGGGCTTGCATCTAATAATAGTAATAAATCAAATTTATTAAATAAATATTTCTGAATCTCAAGGCATCTGAATCCTTTTTAGGGACAATAATAAATTGTGGGAAGATCTTCCAGACAGATACAAGTGACCTTTGACAAATCAATAAGTTCACCCTTTAAACCTAAGGGGTGACCAGCATCTAAATTCTCCTTACAGTAATAGTGCTGAATAATTTGTTCCAATCATGAGAATAATGAAAATGATCACCAATCTAAGAAGCTTTGATTTTTTAATGAATTCCCCTTGTCAGTACCAGAGTAAATGTAGAATAAAGAGTATGGGGAATATCAATCAGGGGGTTCTTCAAGATTTGGTCATAATGAAGAGAAAAAAGGAACTTTCAACAGTAGGCATTTTAAGTGTTTGAAATGACAACATTGTCAAACTAATGGGGTGACTTCATGCATGGTTCTACTGATCAAGCAGTTTACATCGATTTTGGGACTGAAACTTGATAGTTAGCCCACAAAGCAGTGGATTTAGCAGTGAAGGTTTTAGTGATTGGAAATTACAAGCTACTTTTTTGTCACAATTCTTCGGTACTGTTCAGGAGAATAAATATAAAGAATACTAAAGATCCGAGTTCAAATATTGTAATTTACTACAAGACCTAAAAGTAGATCTTAAAAAAATACTCCTTAATCTCCTTGCATAACATATTTATGTTGTAGTAAGCAACAACTTATAAGGTAAGTTTTCCTTGGGAACACTTAGATTTTGTTCATTGATAACTATGTCATACACTATAAAAAAATCATTTTATATGTTCATTTTTGCTACCTGTTGTTGAGCCTGCTGTTGTGCTTGTTGCCATGGAGCTGTATTTATTGACTGTTGAACAATAGCTTGTTGCACCAAATGAGCTTGCGGATTTGTAGTAAGCTGTGTTGCTGCTTGCTGTGCAAGTTGTTGCTGGTTTTGTAAATGTTGTTGGGTTTGCTGTTGAGCTAACAGTAGGAAAAATAAAAATGAAAAAAAGTTAATTTACTGTATCAAATAAAGAAAGTTATAGTCAAAATCAATTACATCTTTGTTTGGTTCAAACTCTTTTGCTGTTTCTATTCAAGTTCAGATATCAAAATGAAAAAGAATAACACTGAGCTCAATAAAAACAAACATAATCTTTTAACTCACTTGGGTGACCAAGAAAAAATTTCAATTTCTCCTAACAATATCAATACAATATTAAGCAAACAAGTGATGAGAATAGGGAAAAAATCAATTAGGGGATTATTAGCTGATCCAATACCAAATTCTCCAAAACAAAATCATGAGAATTGTATGGAAAACATTTAGGAGAACTACTAATGAGATCTGGTATGGGAGTGAAAGTGTTACCTAGTGTCTATTATTTTATGGAAAAAATCTAACAAGTAGTAGGCTGCGTGGCAATCAATCAGATAAACTGATAAGGTGAACATCAGGGGCAAATGAGTGTGGCTTTCTTATTCTTGCACACTACTACAAACCTTTTGCACTTGGGTTACCTAGCTAACTGTCTGCTATTCAGTTTAACTCCACCACAGATTTCTTACCAATTTCAAATGAAACCTTCCATCTGTAGTAGTTGTAGTGCTCTCCACTGAACAAAAATGCAAACTTTGGGTTTCCCTTCTGTTTTTCCTTGGTCATATCTTCAAACTTGCTGCCATTTCGGGCAACAAAGTTTGCAAGTTTGTCGATAATGTTCTTCTGATCTTGATCTTTAAATTAACACAGAATCAGGTGAGATTTTACATTTTGCATCTTCTACAGACATCAAATATCGACAGTAAGATAAGAAAACAAAATTTATACAGCAACTGTACCTTCTGGGGGTGGAAACGGAGGTGTTTGAGACACAGCCATCTGGATATCTAATCCTCTTCACCGTGCTACAGCGAAATGTGTCAAAACGATTCCAGAAGAAGCGTCAGAGATGAAAACTTTACAATGATTTTTATGAACAAAATTCTCGTGGAATTCCCCTTTGTACATGTAACAAACACATACTCAAGGAAAAAGTTTACGATTCCATTTTCATCACTTAATTTGCACTAAATCCTCAACTCTGACAACTCGTGCAAGCCGCCATGATATTCTCTCCCCAGGTGTTCCCGACCATACTTATCGTCACACGTTGGACCCTGGAAGAGAGCCTTTTAAAACGCATGCGTACATTTTTCGAGCAGTGAAAAGTTTGTTTCGGATAGGAAAACCTTGTTTGTGTGGCTACTATCTCGCCAAAATTGGTCAGAAATGGCTCTTCATCGTGTTTTAAGACGCATGGTATCACCGTCAAATAATGCCCTTCTTTTTTTTCGTACTCAAAGTACGAAAACCGCCGCGATTGGTATCCTTTTTTATGAATACTGTTATGATGTAGTCATGTGTTATGCAAGATTTCTATCTTGTTCTGTTTGTGAAAATGATACTGAAATAGAAAGCATTTTCCGGTTTTGTTTCCTTAATTTTTATGTTAATAGCTGAAGAAACAACAAAGGAGAAAAAAGATAACTTTTGTAAGTAATGTGTGATAAGAACGTAACGTTAACGCGGAGAGAACTGGGGGCAAATATTCTTTGGGGGTGTGTATGGGGGTGCTATACCCAAAATGTTAACCTTTAACTCCCAGTTTTGATTAACACGTTACGTCTCTCTATCTATCCATACATTATCCAGCAAACAGGTAATGAGAATACTTAAGCTTATCAAGTAGAAGTTGTTATCTTGATTTTTTAACTTAGTTACAACGAAACGTGTAACAGCTACATGTTTAACAATTTGGTCTTGGGAGTCAAAGAGTTATCTTAATGGAGTAATCACAGTTGACCAAAAGTAAATGTTATGTTAGTTAGGATAGGATATTCATTTACCACTTTTTACATGCAATCTTCTTACTAACAGACAAGAACTTTTGTTTTTGTCAAGCAATAATTCTAGCTGTGGTAATAACAGTGAATAGTTTTCCTTTTCAGTGTTGAGTGTCATCTTTTCCTCTATTGTGTTTTGTTTAGTGAGATTCAACTGGCAAGATCCTTTGAGTCTGGAAAGCTGTTTGACTGAAGAAGAGATAATGGTTAGGGATCAGTTTAGAGATTACTGCCAGGAAAAGCTTATGTCCAGGATTTTGATGGCAAACAGACATGAAGGTTAACATGTTAGATATTTATCATATAATTTAAGAATTGTATCAGGTTAGAACATACAGTTAACGAGAATCTGATTGGCTAATTGCATACTTGTAGTGGTCCAGCTTTTTAAAATAAGGATCACAACCTCGAATTTTTCAGCAGAAACAAACTTGCTGAAAAAAAAGTTATTTTCTATTCTATGTCATTCTGTTTGGGAAAAACTGTACCCTTGGTCTAGAGCACTGCCCTTGGCCTTCAGCCTTGAGCTGTAAACAAGACACTGGGCACTTTTCTTTCCATTTGGACACTTGTCTTTTAAATAACATAATGTAGATTTATCATGTACTCATACTGAATCTTTGCTATATTGCCTTTGTAGTCTTTGATAAAGATATTATGACAGAAATGGGATCCCTTGGAGTTCTTGGTTGCACAATTAAAGGTTAGCAGATATTCTGGGTTCTTCGACTACAATAAAATGTACTTTTTCACCCACTGTACACTGTATGTTTTCAAATTTGGCTTTCTTTTAAAATCTTTCAATTCTAGGTTATGGATGTGCTGGTGTCTCTTCTGTAGCGTATGGACTTATTGCAAGAGAGGTTGAAAGGTTAGAGTAATTGCACTTGTTTTCACTAAGGAATTTCCAAGCTTTTTGAGTGAAATGTGACTTATAATTTTGATACAGCTCTTTAGTATACTAGTGGCTTGTGATCATTTTCACCTTGATCTTTGCTTAAATGTGGGAGAATAGTGGATTTTACTGTGTATCTGTGTTGTGTTAACCCTTTCACTCCCACAAGTGACCAAGACAGAATTTCTCCTTACAATATTAATACAATATCAAGCAGGTAGGTGATGAGAATAGAGAAGAATATCAACCATGTGATAGTTGATCCAATACCAAATTCTCTGAACTAGCATCATAAGAATTGTATGGCAGATAGTTAGGAGAATTACTAATTAGATCTTGGGAATGAAAGGGTCAAAGGGATAAATTTTTACACTCTCAAGTTTACATAGAGATATGTATATAAGGCATCCTCTTCACCACAGTGAATACAACCAGATGTTTGAAATCATATTTTGTCAATGACTATTACAATGACAGAAATTTTTATAGATTCTAAAAGTATGACATTTTGTATCCTGTTGATAGGGTGGACAGTAGCTATCGGTCAGCCATGAGTGTCCAGTCCTCTCTCGTGATGCACCCAATAAATGCTTATGGAACTGAGGAACAGAGGCAGAAATACCTTCCACAGCTTGGTGAGGAGCATTACATCATATGTGTCTGCTTTGTAAATAATGTTAATGGTGGACCATTTAACAAGTAGGAACTAGTAATATGGGGATTCAATTAGTGCATTACATGGGGCTGGCATGGCTTTAGGAGTCAGGGCAGAGCATGCATCTTATTGAAGATGGTGGACTGATTGTTAAATATGGTGGATCAATCAGGGAGGACTTCAACAGGACTTCTAAAATGAAAGGTATTTCTGTTTTCTTATCAAGCACAAGGCAAGCTGATTGGCTGTTTTGGTTTGACTGAACCTAACCATGGTAGTGACCCAGGTGGAATGGAAACAAGAGCCAAGTATAATTCGGCTGGCAACAGTTATATTCTTAATGGAAGCAAAAGCTGGTGAGATGGGTGTTGTTTATGAAATAAATATTCTAAATATTTCTATATACTGTAAATAAAAATAAATGAATAAATGAATAAATAAATTGATTAATATTCTAGAGTATGACTGTAAAATCTGTGTTGTTCAAACTGTGGCATAGGGACACTAAGGTCTTGCTCAAAACCTTTTTAATATTATTTCCTTTGTTTAGGATTACTAATTCACCAATAGCTGATGTGTTCGTTGTGTGGGCAAACTGTGAAGACAAGAGGATCAGAGGCTTTATCTTAGAAAAGGTTTGGTCACAAAGATTTCATAAATGTAAAGAACATCTGAATATGAAATCACAAAGAGTTTTTTTTTTGTCTCATCTTTGCAGGGAATGAAGGGACTCTCAGCCCCTAGAATTGAAGGTAAATTTTCTCTGAGGGCTTCTGTAACAGGCCAGATTGTCATGGAGGATGTTGAGGTTCCAGAGGAAAATCTTCTACCAAATGTTGATGGACTGGAGGTATTATTGACAGAAGTGTTTTGATGATAATGATGATGATGACTAAATAAAGTACATGAACTGTTTTATGCCTAAGAGTGACTAGCATTTAATTTCTCCTTACAATATCACCCATGAATCACAGATAACAGGTCACAAGAATAAAGGAAATGATCACCACCTAAGGAAATTTGTAGAGAACAGTGTGGAGAATATACATCCTGATGCTTGGGTGCTAAGGCTTAAAGTACAGAGTAATAAATCTTCTGACAAACAATTCACATTCCTAAGCAATAAGTAGCAAAACAGAGCAATACTAATGTAAGAGGAAACAAACAATATCAGAGAACTGAAGGAATTTAAGTTAGATCTTTTTTTTTGTTTGATGTCAATCTTTTTTTCTCTTCATTATCAGGGACCCTTTGGTTGTCTGAACAATGCTCGTTATGGCATTGCATGGGGAGCTCTTGGTGCTGCAGAATTTTGTCTTGCCACGGCAAGGCAATACACATTGGACAGGTGGGGAAATACTTAGAAACTCTTATTGCCTGAGTGGGGTTTGGCCAAGGGTTCTTTGTACATTTTGTTGTATTTACCTGGTTTGATTTGACTTTCCAATAAATTTGTATATTATGTTCAACATTTGTACTCATGCAGCAAATTTTTTAAGGGGTAAGGATGAGGTTAAATTTGTGACATTTGAAACTTTAAGTAAAAAAATGAACCATGTAATCTTATTTGTAGGATCCAGTTTAAAAGACCGCTGGCTGCCAATCAACTTATGCAGAAGAAAATGGCTGATATGGCAACTGAGGTTAGTTCTCTGCCATCAAGAGTAGAGCTTTTTTAGAAATTTAATGACTCAGTTAGTATGTAATTGAAGAATAAAGTTGTCAAATTCTGCTTAACCCCTCTCCAGTAAAATTAATTTTTCTTTCTTTTTTTATTTCTTTATACAGATTGCCATTGGGCTTCAAAGCTGTCTGCAAGTGGGACGGCTCAAAGATGAGGGACAGTAAGTAGAAATAACCATATGAAGAGATTTCTCATTACCTTTAAGTCAATTTTTGTATATCACCTGGTTGTTCATATCAAATTTAATGGCAAGTTCAGGAGCCTTCAAAAGAATGTTCATCAGTTGTAATCAGCTGACATGAACATTGGTGTAATTACAGTAGGATCACTGGTATAGGAATAAGGTCATAATTTTTCCTCAGCATATGTTATATTTTTTTACCACAGATTAATCTCAAATTTTTAAGGAACATTAATTATCTGACTGATTTTTTTTTTTAACCCTAAATAGATACTGCCCAGAAATGATATCTATGATCAAACGGAACTCATGTGGAAAAGCATTAGACATTGCACGAATGTCCAGAGACATGCTTGGAGGTAAGTTACCCTATCTGCCATTTTTCTAGAATGGAGGGCTTAGGGAATTAGGTGATGAAATGTGAACTTACTCTATGGAACTTTTGCATAAACTTTTGGTGTCTTTTCCAAAACACACAGGAAATGGAATTTCAGATGAGTATCATGTCATCCGTCATGTGATGAATTTGGAAGCTGTCAATACATATGAAGGTAAAACTGACTATCATTGATTTACAAAAGCGAGTAAGAGGCCTGTATGAACTGTGTGACAATGCATACCCATTTTCCATGATAAGGTAAAATGCCTTTACTGGCATTCAAAAGATATGATAGGATCTTCCTTCCTTTTTTACATTGAGGGGAACTTTTGCTAGGAAGTGAGTATATAGACAGGCTTAGAATACACTTGTTTGTTATGAGTAAATGGTAGCCTGAAAAGCAGGGGTCATTTTGGCAAGCGATTGCTCAGTGTTTTTGTAGAGAAAATTATTGCCCCCATCTTTGAAGTTATGGCAGGGGAAGGCTGGCTAGAGAAATAATTTTGTACCAAGGGGGTGATTGACAGTTGAAAATAAGGAGAGGGGTGGGGAAGTGAATATTCTTGCCCTCCCCAACTGCCTACTCTGACTTCAAATCAAACATAGTTGTTCAGATAAACCTTTGTGAGCTTATGATTGTAAATCGCCCCTACTAAATGCTTGCATTGCAAGTACATTAATTGACAAAAGGGAAAGTGAGATGATGTCCTTCTCATAGGAATGACTGATGTTTTGTCCACTGCATTTTCACATGGTCTGGGACAATTTGGGCACCCTTCTCCCCTCTCTTCTCCCCCTCCTCTATCTTCTTTTTTTACCTTTTAAAGATACCAGCATTTCCTGGTGTGAAGTTTCATTTTCTGACTGCTTTACCAAGTTTTTATATCAAGTTTTTATATTTTTGTGTGCAGGAACCCATGACATACATGCACTGATTCTTGGAAGAGCAATCACAGGACTTCAGGCTTTCACTGGCCGATGAATACATTACTGGTGATGAATATGTTTCATAGAAAAAGAAACGGGAAAGCACAACATCCACACTCGTCAATAAATCTATACATTAAATTATCATCTCAAGCAAAAATGCTAACCTTTAGTTCTAGGTACTGCTAATTTAATATATATGGATGAAATACCAAGGTTTGTAAGTGTTCAGACCACATGAAAAATTTACAACTCAGACAAATAGATCACTGATATGTATCTTTTGGTAAATTTTCATGCAGATTAATGATAACCGACACATGCCTGATTGTGATATTGTTATCTCTGTTTACAGTACTAAAGTTAACTTTTGAGAATGTGAAAAGAAAACGGGGGTGAAGAAGGGCCTATCTTAATTTTTAAAATGATGTAAGGAAAATGTATATTCAATTCTACACCAACTTATTCTTCTCATTTGTAAAATTTCTTAGTTGTACATTTTATTCAGAAGATCATCTTGCTTTGGTCATAGACAAGGAGCACAAATTTGCTAGTACGTAGATAAAAAGTTCCTGCATCCCTTCATAGTTGGGGTAGTTACAGTGCTTGTAACTGTTTGAGAGTTCTTCTTATATTTTTGAAATATTATTTGTTTTATTAAGAGAAATGAGAAAGAAATGTTAATGTGTATGTGGTACAGTATAAACTTGTACTCCAGTGTTCTGTATGGTGTGGAAATAAATACCTGTACTCTGAATTTATATTTTTTTAGCTGACAAATTGTCTCTCAAAAACCACATCTTTCCGATAAATGCATTTTACATATTTTGGTTATTTTCATCCAGTTCTGAGTCCAATACCAAGTGAGATCTTAGTGCAATCACGAGAGGATCATCTTATCCTGTGTAAAGCCACCCTTTCCCAACAACAACAACAACCAAAAAAAAAAACAGGAAGAGGTCCACCCCACCCTAGGTTTTAAGAACTTGGAAATATCAAGTTCAATCACAAATACACGATATGAGCAAATTAAAAGTTGGTTTTCTTGTCATATTTATTTCTTTATTTTTGACGACAGGTAAATCTTCTCAAAATGTGACACAAGTAAAATACTGCAATATAAAAATTTGCCTGAATATTTCTATCAAAAAATATTGTACAAATGGTAAAAGAAGAAACAAAATATAATGCCAGAACATGTACAGTCCATTGCCAAAGTGTACACCAATAACAGGAAAATTATTGTGAACTAACAGCAAAATTCAATGAAATTTTAATTGCAATAGGATGTAACATTTAACCCTTTCCCTCTCAAGATCTCATTGGTAATTCTCCTTATTGTCTGCCAAACAATTCTTATGATGTGAGTTGGAAGAATTTTGTATTGGATCAGCTAATCATCCTCTAATCAACATTTTTCTCAATTCTCATCACTTTTCTGCTTGATACAGTATTGATATTGTAAGGAGAAGTTCTGTCTTGGTCACTCAAGGGAGTCAAAGGGCTAAGTGTTTGCATTTGGATGACAGCCACTTGAATGGTAACTTAATGTGGCATCATCAACCTCAGTAGACAAGTAATGAATGAAATTGTACCTACCCACCTGGATAGTCTATAATTGTACTCCCCAACATCCCTAAACAGATTTTGCTCACTCCCCTCTGGGCTTGGATGTTAGCTTGCTAAATTTTATTCATTGTGGAGGGGGAGGGGCAAGCAAAGTTTCTTTGACATAGGAAGTGTGGGAGTGACAATTTTACAAAATACATTTACACTGCTTACAACTGACCATCTGTACTTAGCAGAGTGACAAAGATGAAGGAGCTGCATTGTGATATTTTGGTTGAGTTGTACGTTTGTCACTTACAAGATAACCTTTACAAGAGGGAAGTTATAATATTTTAGTCTAGTGATAAGAAACAACACCCCAGTAGGAGAAAAAACTAAAAAATAAGAAATGAGGATGTTTAAGGATTAAAATTAATAAACATTATGCAAAAACTTACATCCACAAATGGATTTAACAAGAAAGATAACAGCAGACTTGTACCTCAATGTCTTAGTTGAAAAACCTTGCCTCTGGTAAAGTTTTTCAAAAGTGTCATTTACAGTCTCTATTAATCTTCTTCAACATTAACCACTTGAAATGTTTTTGGGTTCCAGTTTGTCCACATATTTTACAAAGAATGAAGAATGCCACAGAATTTCTTAGGGATAACTTTGCAAAGAACAGGGTCTCATCTACTATAGTCCACTTTTTTCAACATCTCTGTTGACTGGATTCTGTAAATGTGATTTTGATGAGGCAGCTCGTCGCCTGGCCAAAACAGAGTTGGAAGGGGGTGAAAGTCCAAATAGTCTTGGTTTTATGTTGTTTTGGAACTCATCATAGTGAGCACCAGGCTCATCAATGGCAGATGCCTCAGAAAATATTCTGTTCATGGCTACTGCTTCAGCTGCAAATTCCTGTAGACTGAGGGTGTTCATATTCCTGAAAAGAAAAACAAGAAAATAAGTTACCTCTTAAAAATTTAAGAAACCACCACAACCATCTATTCTGTAGTTCACAAAAACAAGCTACTACTACTTTTTTGAAAGTTGCTGTTCAGAGATATGAACCACCATAAGAATGGGTGACACACTCCTCCAAATCATTGGCGGAGTATTGTATTGTACAAACATTGTATGCACAGATGTGTTCTTTTTCTTATTTTAAGGTTAATGCTGAACTTAATATGATTGAAAAAATCAAACATAAGTGCTCGATCTTTTTAAATATTGTTTTTCTTGGTATGATTTAGTATTTACTCTCCCTCACTGCTGTTCTGTGGAATGTAACCCAAGGTTACTAAGAGAAAGCATAGTGTTACATTCAGTGATTAGAGAGAGTGGAGTATTTTGGTAAAGGAAAAGGTCATGTTAATATCAAATGGTCCCAATGAAATAGCTGCTAACACATCACCATCATTTTAATGGTTTACGTAAAGGCTTCTCAACCTTCTCCAACTTACCTTGTCAACAGGGTAGGGGTTGGTAAAGGGGTGTTGCTTGCCTGTAAAAAAAAAAAAAGAAAATAAGAAACACAGTTAGCCTTTTACACCTTAACATCAGAATGTATAATCTTCATACTGTTCTCCAAGCATTTCTTAAGGTGCTGGCAAAGATAATTTTTTTAATAGTCAAGAGCTTATCAAGTTGGTGATCATTTCCTTTATAATTCTTGTGAACTTAATGTTTGGTTCAGGTGTGATATTGTAAGGAGAGATGAGAGGGTTAACACAAACTGACATTAGTGACAAAATAACCTAAAATGCACGGAGCAAAAAATGCACACATACACACACCTCTTCAATCCAGGTATGTTCAAGTATCATGTCAGTTGTATATCTCTTTGTTGCATCCCGCACTAGCAGGTGGGAGATGAGATCTTTGGCTTCTAATGAAATGCACTGCCATTCCTTGAACAGAAAGTGGAAAATGACTTTCAGCTTACTAACTGGTAAACAATCTATCTTCATTATATTGTTTGACTTGCAATGCATTCAATGTAAATTTATGAGAGACTTTTCTATCATTTTTAATCTTAGAGTTATTTCATAAATAACATTGAACTGTGCATTTGGGGGAAGAATTACTCAAAAGAAGAAGTCTAAAAGACTAATAAAATAATTTTTCCTTTGGTTTCCCCTACATAAACTCTCCAAGAAACAACAGAAGTTTTTTAAAAATTAAAGTAAAAGAGTATCACTGTGAGAAACAAACTGCTTTTGAGAAAATTGACCCATTTATTGCCAAGATTAAAGTATTAATTAAAATAAATCATCATGCTTCCAGGTTACATGTTAGTTTAGAGAATTTGGTGTGAGATTAATCAAATATCCTTGACCTCATTATTCTTTCAATTCTCATCCTCTTTATACTGAATGATGAACAAATATTTTATGGAGAAGTTGTTCAATGATCACTTACAAGAGTGTGAGGGCCAACTTAGCAATTTTATAAATCAAATTTAAGTGTCAGTCTCACAGAGAAGGTGGGAAGGAATTCACTAAAAAACCAACACAACAGTCTGATACCAAACTTGCACTTGATAAACAACTTTTAACACTGTATTTTCTCCTCAAACTTGTTCTGTTGTCTTACCTTGGATGGAAAGTCATACTCTCCTTCCTGTATCCTCTTCATAAGCATTTCCTGATTCAATATGAAAATACAACTTGTAAATGATTATACCCATGTGTTATTATTAAGTGCTACTCCTACAAATGGTTCATTATTCATAACCCTTTAACTTCCAGAAACAATGAACATATAATTTCCCCTTATAATATACATACCTCATCTAGCAAACAGGTACTTAGAATACTAAAACCTATAGAAGTTATCATCTTGATCTGATACCAAATTCTTGTATCAACTAATTACAAGAAAATGTGTAACAACTAGAAGGAAGAATTTACAATCAGATCTTGGAAGTCAACAGATTAAAAGCTGATTCTTTCATGGTTGAAGCTACCACACTTTTGTCTATTTCCTTGGAAATGGTTGCAAGAAAATTCATATTTTTCCCCACTAGTTTACAATAACCATTATAGCAACAGTACAATCTCTTAATTATGCTTTCATTGCCTCACAAAGTGCCTAGGGTGTAAAAAAGTTCTAAAGCAGAGAAAACATGGGAATTTCTCTCTTGAAAAGTCTCTTTAATGCATGTGAAATGCTAACCTGACATGATTGGCAGTTTTCACCTTTCTCCCATCCACAGTCTGTACCACATTTGCCATAAAAGGGTGGGTGCCCCGACAACATAATATAACTGCATAAAAAATAAAACATTTACCTTGATCATTGAAAAATAGGACTCAGGATACAAGAGGAACTTAACATGGGTGGAAATAGGATAAGAAATAGTTTGCATACAGAATTACTCCAAGGCTCCACAAATCACATCTTTTGTCATATGTTGTAGCATGAGTTTTGAAGGCATCCACCACTTCAGGTGCCATATATTCAGCTGAGCCAACCTAAGAAAAAGAACATTATAGTGTCAAGAACTGATCTAAAATTCAATAATACTTTGTTCAATCACATTGCAGGAAAATAGGAGTTGTGTTTTTGACATGAGCTTAGTAAAAATTAGACAAATAGAGGCTATTGTTTACATAATGAACTGATATTTACTGGTGTCTGAAGTTCTGGTGTTGTCACCGGTACACTGAGTCCATCAAGTCCACTTGCCAGGTCAAAATCACAAATCTTGACAGGGGTTATCTACAGCAAAAGTAATAAAGTCAGGGGTTAACTCTCACCCCTAAAATCAAAGCAACAATTCCTCCCTCCATCTATTATACATATCCTTCTAAATTAGTTTGGAGAATTGTGCATTTTATCAGCTGGTGAGGATAAATCCTTTTAAATGATAAATTTGTTTGGTTTCATCATTGACTTGCAAATAATGCATAAAATTGTGATGAGAGGTAATTTTTTTTTATATCATTGAAGTTGGTAATAAAGCATCTGAGAAGAACATAGCTACATTATGCAGCAGGTTTGCATTGTGGCAATTTAGGTTGCCAAGTGTAAGACTACTCAGATTGTTCTGCTTTTTAGCAAGTCATGCAAAGGTGAAATTTTATAGAATGATAACAAATTAATTCCATTATATACCTGATTTTCATAAGCACACAGTATATTTTCAGGCTTCAAATCTCGATGAGCTATGCCTGGAAAAATGAATTTTTAAAATAGAATAAACATGAAAAGGGTCAAACTTTGTTAGGAAGACATATTTTTTGCAGTAATGGTCAAGCAAAAAAATTTAAAAGATGATAACCATAAATAACAGAATGTACCTTTTTTGTGAAGAAAATCCAAGGCTGATGCAATGTCTTTTACAACAAGGCTGGCCTCTTTCTCAGTAAAAGCTTTCTTCTTCTCTATATGTTTCAGAAGTGGTCCTATGTGTGATTACCAACAGCATAAATATAAGCATAAAATATAATTTCTTTGAAAAATAAAATCATAATGTAACAAACCTTTAACTCCCACGATCTGATTGCTAATTATCCTCCCTAGCTGCTTAAGTATGAGAATTTGGTATTAGATCAAAATAACCTTTATCTGATTAGTTTTAGTATTCTCATTATCTGTTTGCTGTTTTTAATGTATCCATGGATATTCTGGGGAGAAATTACATTTTTATTATTTCTGGGAGTTAAAGTTTAATAACTATTTATTGGACTAATGAGTGGTTGATTTGGTAGTGGATGGTTTTAAAGTTGTCATTACCTCCTCTCATCTTTTCAAATACCAAATAATACCTGATGAGATAAAATAAAAAATCTCAGTAAAGCAAACTCTATTGCATACAGAAGGATTATTTAGCAATTTTTAAATAATCAGTAAACCTCTGCACTACTATTTCTTACAAAAACTATGATTCATGAGGGTAATTGTGATACCAAAAATCATTGAGTAATTCAGTTTGCAAATTTGTTGTCTCTTTTGGCACAATACTTACTTGTGACTGTCTTCAAAATATTCAATGCAGTCTATTATATTCCTGCAAAACAAAAAAAAGACATTTCATATTCCTGGAAAATAAGAATATTACAAGAGATGCTTGTCAATTATTATAGACTACAGCAAGAATATTGGGGAGAAAACAAAAAGTGAAGTTATAATCTATTATTTACTTTTGTCCACGGCACCGGTAGAGCAACTCTATCTCATTAAGCACACGCTTTCTGTCAACTTTTGGAGACTTCTCAATAATCTGATGATATACAATTAAAAAAAAGAATCCTTTAAAAATCTAGCATCCCAGCACTTGAATTATCCCCAAAATATTCTTTACCAAATGATCTGGCCGGTATTGAGGCGAATACTCCCAAGATCTCATGAGTAATTCTCTTTACTATCTGCCATACAATTCTTATAATGTTAGTTCTGATGATCTGCTGTTGGATCAACTATTTATCACCAAATTGATATTTTTCTTTATTCTCATCACTTTTCTGCTTGATATTGCGTCAATACTGTACGGAGAAATTTTGGTTTGGTCACTCTTGGGAGTTAAAGGATTTAGGGATATTGATAGCCAACACCACAGGACAAGGAATCAAAATATTTACATTGTCATAGTCAAGGGAGATTTGTTTTCATATCTTTATCTTTAAGGGAATCTCCTAACCTTCACAGCATATTCCTGATTTGTAGCAAGCTTAACACAACTCTTCACTGTTGCATGGGCACCTTGACCTAATATGTCATCCAGTACCTTGTATACATCTAGGAAAGTAAGACAATAAACATGTAAAGTGATTATTAACAAACAAAACCTAGTACTTAAAGTTAGCTTATGAGTCAGTGGACTTGTTCTGGAGCTCATCCCAGTTTTTGCATCACGAAGCAAATAGTACTTTGTCTTCTCCACCCAGGATAGAATGCCAGTCCACTGCTAAGTTACTGGTAACCCTGGTAACCCCTTTACAACAGCACCTTTAAATCAAACATTAAGCTCATAACAATAAAGGAGATGATCCCCAACTTAAAAAGTTCTTGATTGATAAACAAGTTCTCCTTGGCAGCAACTTAGGAAATGTGTAAAGAACAGTATGGAGAATATGCACACTGATATTTGGGTGCAAAGGGTTAACCTTTCAGAATTCCTTATCAGTATGGCCTCTCTCCCAGAATGGGATGCTAGTTCGTAACAGTTACCATCCCTGTGTTTCATTGGTCTTATCTGTTTTCTGGTTCCCATTTATACTCCTGGTTGGAGAGAGCTGCTATGGGAGTAAGGTGTCTTAACCAAAAATAGGACACCACAATCTGGCTTGGTCTGGAGCCTAGATCTTTCCACCCTAAGTCTAACATGAAATCATGCAGTCACTGTGTCTTCCTCTCAAACGCAAAAATTTACTGAGAGTGATATCATTAACATCAAATAATAACACATTCTTTTTCTTTTTTCTAATTAATTACATTCTTACCATAAAAACTTTCACAGACACTGTCGCTTGCTCTTTTCTTTTTCCTTTTTTTTTTCTTTACTTGAGCTTGAGGCTGAAAAATATCTGATGGATAGAAAAATTAGGAAAAGTAATCTAATAAAATCAATTTTTTTATATTATAATTATTATACAAACATTTTAGTTAATTAATTGTCCTGATAATTTACCATTAGCACTTGGCTCAAACAAGAAAGCAAAGAGATAGTTAAGAAGGCAGACTGAATTCTCAGAAGTTTCTGTCTCAGAGTTCAAATGTTTTCTTGGTTCAAATTTTTCAAAACCAGTTTGATTTTCATATCCTTTCGAATTGAACTCATTGTAAATCATAATCTTTAACAATGGGAAATAAGAATAAGATTAATTGCCTTAACACCTATTGGACAAGAGGTTTCGCTTCTTATAGATAAAGATCAACCTTACCTTCTTGAGGAGGTTCAATGTCTCCATTGTGGTCAAGAAGATGCTCCTTTTTATTATTGTCACCTTCAATTGCTGTTTTTCCAGTTTGTGGCTTGGCTTGGAAGGAATTTTCAGAATTGCTTGCTTTCTTGTTCATTGCGGGAATGTGCAACTGTAACACAATCAACACAATACTCCTCAGACATATAGTGACTGTTTGAAAGATCTCAAATTTATTTCCTTAGAGATATATGTAAGACTTGTCAAAAGTGAAGTACATTACTTACATTCAATGAGTCATGAAAGAGTCTCAAGTCTTGCACCGTATTCTCTGGATGAAAAAATAAGAAAAACTCATTTACTAACATTATAAAAAATAATGATAATTATAATAATAATAATAATAATAATAATAATAATGATGATGATGATGATGATAAAGTATTTCAAAAAATGTGTCCCAACATCTCTTTTAAGACTTATTTCCAAAACAGAATAATGGAATGTAAAAGAGGTATGAAAGCGTCAGTTGAAAATGTTTACTTCATCCAGAACTCAAACACAATGCAAGAAATTTGGACAAGATATACTTGTTCAGAGACCTAGAATCTTAAGGGAAATATCTCCTAAATCCTACAATACCTGAATCCCTGACAAACACGGGAAATTAAATGTGACCAAAGCTGTTTAATATTTTGACATGAAATTTATTTTACACCAGAACAACTCGACTATGTTAAGATCTCAATTTAGTACTTCCTCATTAAAAGACAATTTATCGCAATGTTTTTTAGATAAGTTACAGTGGAAGATACAGTTATCGCTCTGATAAAAAGGTTCGTTACGACTGGTGGGTTTACTTCAATTTTGTGCTTGCCAAGCAGAAAATAACAAAACAAACTGACATAAACAAAATAATGTTTCTTGTACTTTAAACCAATTTTATACTTCTAATAACTTCTCTTTTTATTTAAAAGGCTTGCTTTACCTTTTCTCTTGCTCTCCTCCTCGTTTGCGAGCTGAAGTATGTAGAAAAGATGAAATCTATTATTGAAAGTACATATTGCAAACCGAAGCAATAAATTGTCAGCTGAATTATTGTAAAATGGATCGGCCGGTAATAATTTTACATTTGTTGAAATATAACCAAATTAAAAGCCATGAATCGAGCTTCACTAAAATACATTTCAATTGAGATTGAACGACAACTGTTAACAAGAAGTAATGTTAAGCCATGAAAACAAACCCTGAAGTTCTTGCTGAAAACGATAAGTTCCTCCACATCCGCCATCATCCCGCGAAGTTTTAAACGGGCAAGGTAGCCGCTCGTTTCTCCGAAGACGTCCGTAACTATCACGACAACTTTCAATTTCCGAGTAATTCCGAGACGGATGTCGGTAAGTTTTCTTTTAATTCTTGTCAAAATATTTTGCGACTATATTGTTCGAACGTTAGATTATTAAACTTCTATAAATGATAGAAATTATAGATTCATAGAGATATGGAGCGTCCGGTAACAAAGCAACCACGAAAAAATTAAAAATCTGGTTCACTGATGAAAGGTAAAAAAAATTCAGTACAATTATTTCCTAGAAAGAATTTAACGCGGCCAAAATAATTTTGTTTCCCGTCCAGAATTATAACCTTAAAAAAGAAAACAAACTAATCCCTCTGAAATGCTTCACATCCGCTTAAATCAAAATCAACTAAGGATATCCATATAACCCTTGAAAGGTCAACTTAGGAAATTTTTACGGTGGTCAATTTACGCTATCTAACCATCTTTTCCCCCCCCTCCCCCTCAACACAGCACCACAGTTTCTTCAGAAACTTCACTTCTTTAAAGATATCCATAGCCTGTAGGACAGGCGCAGTTTTTTGCATTTTTTTTTTTTAATAGAATTTTCACAGTTACTGATATTCTCTGACCAGGAGACCTGGCTTAGCAAGTTTCATTAAAAAAGTGAAGTGATAGAGGACACACATTCTAGTAAATGAAGTCGTTTTTATTTGTTTTTTTTTTCTTTTTTTTAATTGACTTCTTCACAACATTGCATCTACACCAAGATTTTTCAAAACACAACAAAATGTAAAAGAACATTCCTCAATGACTACTTTTTAGGAAAAGTAACTCATACACTAGTCCTAACCTATGACAGTAGTATGGGAAACATGTGTAACTACAGGTGAACAAGCCTTCAATAAATGAAACTAAAGCCCTTTAGGGAACACAAATAGTTTCTTTAACAACAATATTTCTCTCAAATTCTCCCTTCTGTGTAGAATATTCTGCAGCAGTTCCTTGCTGGAGAGACCTAACAGCTGAATAAACACACCAAACATGCTAATCTACAGTTCTTTATAACTATTGTTAACTATTTCTAGAATATCAAAGAATTAAGTTTTCACACAACATTCAGAAAAATAAATAATTTCAATTCACCCTTTCACCTTCAAGAATGGCTAGCATCTAATTTTTCCTTAAAATATCACCCCCTGAATCAAACCTTAAGATCATGAGAATTAAGGAAACAATCATGGTTAAACTAAATAATATCTTGATTGCCAAAAAATTCTCCTTTTTGGCACAAAAGGAAATCCATAGAGAACAGTAAGGAGAATATGCATTCTGATGTTAGGGTATAAAGGGTTAACCCTCTCACTCTTAGGGGTGACAAATAAGTCATTTCTCCTAACCATGTCCATACTCATATCAATGAGACCTACAGTGAAAACAGCAATATTGGAGGGTGTTATTTGATTTACCACAAAATTCTAAATAAATCTAAGACAGTAAGAATAATTTAGATAAATGAAAAGAAAGGGTTATACAGATTCAAAAAATTTTAGCACATTATAAATTGAAAATTACCAAAATAACCTATTTACTGGTAATGTTTTATTGCAAAGGGTACAGAAAAACACAATGTACAAAACAGCAATTTAATAAATCCTGATGAAAAACTCACAGAAACATTTGCAAATTTTTTTAATTTTCAATTTCATGTAATATTGTTCCACCTTTCCAGAATTCTCCTCTCAAACAAGGGAATCCCTCATATCTTTGTGCAAAATTGTAGAAGTAAGCTGGTTATTAGCAATTCAATAATATACTTAAGGTACATTCCATATGAAGACACTTAATATCTATAACATAAAAATTAATTAGTAGTTAATTTACATTGATTTAATTAATTATTACCAGTCTGAACTTTGCAGTACATTCCAACAACTAACCCCTATCCAATATACCACTGTATTGCTGGTGAGATTTTCTTTTACATCATAGAGTCATTACCAATTATGACTTCTTACAATTGGTAATAATCCTTAAATTTTTTTGACCTGTCTCTATGACTTCTATGTGTCTATACTGTAAGAAAAAAATACACATTGATCAACAGTTCCAGCAGAAATCAAGTTGTGAAGCCTGGCTACTGATATAACACTTTTTTTCAGCACTTGCTAGATCACTGGCCAAATACACTCTCTGCAGCTTCTCTTATAACTTCGCCTCCACGTTTGATTTCTTCAGTTGTCAGCTGAATATTCAGTGTCACTCTGATGCTGCAAAAGAAAATAGTGATAAACATCTAAATTGATGAAAATGTCAGCAATACTAAAGCACATTCAGGAATCAGTTGGCACAATCATTGACTTTAGACCTTAAGAGGGAGGATGTCTGAACAATAAGCTCAAGATTTCTTAGCACAAGTGCAAATCAATTTCCATGCAGAGAAATAGACAATGAAAAGTCGTATTGTCTTCAGTAAGTACAAATCTTCTATTTGCTCAAAACAATAGGACAAGCACATGCTGTCATTGAGAGGAGCATTGGGGGGGTTCTGAATACTGCAGTGCTGCAAAAAATTGGGAAAAATAACAGAATACTGCAAAAAAAAATTGCCAAATGCTGCAATGCTTTACTAAGGAGCCATACTGGGAGGAGCCCTACCTTGGAGGTGGCAGAAATTTTTCCTCATTTTTAAGATATCTTGCTACTGTAAGTGCTACACCATTCTTCAGAGCCTACAATTCATAAACAGAAACAAAGAAGTAAGACGAAAGTCAAAGTTAAACAGTTACATTAAAAGTAAAACAGCAATATAACATATTCAAGACCTACTCACATAATCAACAACTTGTTTCAATTTCTCTTCATCTTCCTCAAATGTTTCAAATGGTTCCTGAAGTCTCAGGTGTAGAATTGGAGATCCCTCCGATCCTTCACGTAGAAGTCCTTTGAGGCTAAAATGAAAAATGGTATTTAAAACACTTCCTCAAAATTAAAGAAGAGTAGGTGTTGTTGAGGTGGCACACCTCTGCCAAGAATTTGACGGAGTGCTCCCCCCTCAGAAATTCTGCCACAGAGACACCTATCTTTCCTTTAATTTTTACCCTTTAACTCCTAAGATTAGATTGTTAATTCTCCCCTTTAGTTGCAACCCATTTTGTTTTACATCAGTTGCAAGAATTTGGGGTTAGATCAAGATAACAACTTCTACCTGATAAGTTTGAGTATTCTCCTCACCTGTTTGCTCAACAATGTATGAATATTATAGGGAGAAGTTACAAGTTAATCACCTATCGGAGTTACTGGGTTAAATCAATAACCTTGTTAGTTTAGTCAAAACCTTATAATTACATGTGGAGTGCACATACCTTTCAAGTTCTCCATACAATAGTTTTGCCTTCTCTTTGAGTTCCTCAAACATTTCTAAATAACAAAATTAAGAAGCAGTTCATTAAGTTTGTTCGTGTATGATCAATCATTTTAAAAATTACACTTTCCAAGACAAGCATTCATTTGATTACTAACCTGGTTTTTCTTCTATGATATTTAACCCTTCAATTGCCGCTGAGGCCAACATAGGAGGGAGAGATGCAGAAAAACAGTAACCAGCACCAGACAGTCTCTGCAAGAATAGAAAAAAGTAAGAATTACAGTCTCAAAAAAAACATATGTTTCACAAGATTAAGACCAAAAACATTCCCTGTGTTTCCAAGGACATAACCCTTGGATGGAGAATCACCAAGAGGTTAATCCCCTTACGGCCACAACTTATCCAGCTTTCTTCTTATCCCTATACAACCTCACATCAACATGTATATTCCCCATACTGCTCTTTATACTTTTCCTCAGGTGCTAACAAGGAGAATTTATTTGAAAATCAAGAGCTTCTTCAGTTGGTGATCATTTTCCCTATTCTCATGACCTTATTGTTTCATTCAGAAGTGTTGCTGTATGGAGAAATTAGATCCCAGTTACTCCTAAGGGTTAAAGGGTTACAGAGAAAGAACCCCTTCCCTCAGAGAGGGTGCTTGTTCACTGCATACCATTCCTCAGTATTTCATCAGGTTGTATTCAGAGTTTGGCAGAAGCCAATATATTATTGGAATCAGTTTTATATTGTGTTTAATTTTTTTGAAGCCTGATTAACCCTGTAACTCTCATGAGTGACCTAGATAGAATTTCTCCTTAAAATATGAGTTCAATATCAAGCAGACAAGTGATGAGAATAAAGAAAAATATCTATAAGGGGATTATTGATTGATCCAATTCCAAATACTATAAATTAACATCATAGAAATTGTATAACAGACACTATGGATAATTACTAAATAAGAGCTTGCATTTGAAATGGATAACAAATCCTGTATTTACTAGGTAAATAAACTATACATTGCCATGGTCATGAAGCCTGGATTAGTCTTGTGCTAATTTTGATTTGAACCACTAAACCAAAGGCTTAGAGAGGTGCTTGGGGGTCCAGTGCTTATCACATAAGAAGCCAGATGTACCCATAATGAACAGTGTAGCATCTTGCTTGGTTACCACAACTCCCATTTTGGACACTACTTTAGGGTGTGTAAAATGTAACAAATCATGACAAACCTGATGATCAACTACAAATGATGTTCCACAACAGAACCCTCCAATAGTTGCTAATGAGTTCTCCATTGAAACAGATATCATGTCGACATCTTTAATCTGAGGAGAAGGAAAGAATATGATGCAAAGAGGTTTTAGTTTTTATTTCAAATTTTACTTTTGTTGGTGGCAAGCTATTGCCACATTTCTTTGCTTGTTCATTTACCTCACTCTAGAGGAGAGAGGCCGTTTTATAAAAATACTGGAGTTTTGTCAATGCTTTCAGTCCTTCTCACTTAAGCTTTATCTAAGAGAGTTAGGAGCTTTTATAAAATTTGATACAAGAGGGTGTGGATAGTTAAGAATGACAAATTGGTAGTTTTGAGGGCCTGCTGGACTTCCTCTTCCTTGAGAGGTCTGAAGTCCCTTGGAAATTTTGAAGGTTTAAACTTTTACAGTTGCAATTTCCTGTACTTTCAACTAAGGTTAGGAATACAGTGATGTCTGTGTAAAAACTACAAGTGGGTAGCTCCCTAGCTCATTACAAGCATTTGGATATACCTCATATCCCACTGCTTATGAAACTGCTGAAGCTGTAATACAAGATATGAATACAAGGAGAATGTATTGGACTGGTACAACACATGAGATTTACTAAATACCAAACTTACCGGGACATCAAAGTGCTCTGTCAATCCTCGACCAGCTTGCCCAAGAACCCCAAATGATGCACTTTCATCAATGATGAGACGAACTTTGTACTTATATTTCAATTCAATCTTAAGAAAGCAAAGGAAAATTACTCTTTCATTAAGTAACTTAATATTGAAAAGAAAAGCTGGTTTTTTACTACTTAGGGAGCAAATTTAAGCAATAATTAAAACAATTTATATACTTTACATACTTGACAAAGTATTGCAATCATTCACAACCATATTACTTACTATTTTTGGAAGAGGTGCAATGTCACCATAATTGACTGAAATTCCCTCTATTACTAAAAATCTTCTTGTTACACTTGCTTTCTTGGGATTCTGTAAAAAAATGTAAATAGCAAAAATAAGAGGTCATGATATTCCTCTGGTTTGGAGATATCAAAAATGAAAAAAACAACAACAAAAAATTGACTGATAAGAAAATGTATGCGGAAATAAAGGAATAAAATATTTTACTGTATTGTACTTTGTCATCTTTCTCCTTCTGTTCATGTAAAAGCCTTTCAAGATCTTCCATGTCATTATGCTCAAACCACATTATACGACTTCTGGAAGCCACCAGTCCTTTTTGAATTGCAAAAGATACTCCCTTGTCACTATAAGAAAAAAATTGGAAGATTCACATCAAGAAAGAAATTATTAAGTATCATTAACATTTGAGGATAATCTTTATCATATTTCAAACCTTGGAAAATTTTGAAAAAATTTAATATCAATAAACCACTTAACTATAGTTAAAAAGTTCTGAACACTAGCTAATATGACATTTTAGCTTATCAAAGTTTCTGTTTAAATTGTAGAAATCCATACTAACACTTCATGTAAAAAATATGAAAAAAAATCACTTCAAAAGTATTAATATGTTATCAGTGATCTCACCAGAAAATAACATCCCCTCTTTTGGAGTATGCAGGAATCACACTTGCTATTGTAGAAAATCCATAGGCATATAGGATAGCCTCTTCAGTTCCCATGAATTTGGCTAGTCTTTCCTCTAACTCCAGATGTACATCTGCAACATATGAAACATGGCTGTTATCCTTTTACAAACTCCCATTATTGATTCATATATAACTTCTCCTTATAGCATCCACACACTATCTAGCAAACTAGAAATGAGAATACTTAAACTTATCAGACAGAAGTTATCTTGATCTAACACCAAATTCTCATACCTGATTTCAAAGGAAATGTGTAGAAGCTAATTGGGAGAATTGACTTCTTACCTATTGTCCCATAAAAACCACGGGGACCACAGGAACCTACACCATATTGATGTAAACTTTTGATGGCTGTGTCCTGAAAGATATTGTAAGTATTGAAGGTAATTTCAACATAAGCGAAGAGTAAACAGTTCTTCTTTGATTCTAAGGAGCCTATCTAGTGAAAATGAGAACCACTGAATTACCTCTATCTTTTCATTTCCCACAAAGCCAAGAAAATTAAATGTTGCAAAGTTTAGACACTCTTTGTCATCTATATTCAAAGTATGACCTGGTTTCCTGATGCAAAAAGACAAAAAATAAATAAAATTCATTTAATTAAAACAAAGAGACCTTTCAATCAACACATGGTGTCATAAAGGTGTTTAACAGCCGTTAGAAAAAAATTAATTAATTTATCTATAAAAATTACGAAAAATGGAGTCATAATAATTCATTTACAAAGACTTTGAGAGAGGTATCTTTTTGTCGCAAAGAAAAATAAAAAGAAGTATTTCATGCATACCCCTGTACCACTTTGGGAGTGAGTGTATCTAATTCGTATGTTGGTGTTGCTGGTACTAATGGTTCTGGCTGCCACTCTTCAATCAGTTCCTCCTCTTCCTAGTGACAGTGAAAACAGATAATGTGAGATTTTTTAGACCACAGACTCATAAATTCAAAGTTCTCTAACCAGTGTAACAGTTTTTTTTTCTTTTTAAAGCCTGTTGTAACATTTACAGTGACATCTGAATTTAGTTAACTTTCACTGCAGATAACTCATCTTAGAATCAAACAAAAAGTTTGCTGTTTCCAGGAAACAGAGAGTTAATTCATGAATGCTAGTTCATCTTTTAACACTTCACACCTGCACATTGATATTCATATTCTCCACACAACGGTTATCTTTACATTTCCTGTGGTACTGACCAGGAGAAATTGTTTTACTATCTCAACCTTCTTTAGTTTGCAATGATTTTCCTTATTCTCATGACCTCAGTCTTTGATTCAGCAGCGATGCTTCAAGGAGAAATTAGATCCCCATCACTCTTAAGAGATATAGCGTTAAATGGCCTATTATTCTTTAAGTTTTACTAAATCGTCGATTACATTCATTTATACCGATCTTACCCTCTCAGTGAGTTCAATCTTCTGTTCCCTGAATCTAAAGGTCTTGCTGGTTATCAGTCTAATGATCCAAATCACCAAGACAGCTTCGAAAAGAACATGATAGAAGGGCACCTATCCAAGTTTAAATTAAAAATGTTTTCACCTCTAACCGACATAGGTTATGTCATGTTTACGTGCCAAGCTTTGGAAAACAGGATTTGAACATGTACGACTTCCAATGGCTATCCATGGTTAACAAATAGTAACTGACCTTTGTGTAATATTCTAAGATCTCTATTCCTTGTGTGAGATAAATCGTAAAATAAGAAAGCTGCAAATAGGTAGAACTTGTAGATCCCTCAGTAGCACATTGTTGTTCAACCCGGGCCATTTTGTATTTTATTTTAGATACGCCCAGACTTGAAGGGATCTGGAGACGACACGTGTTCAGTCTCCCTCGAGCAAATGTGCATGACCTAACGCGAACTTCGAAAGCGTCCACCAACAACATCATGTCTTCCAAACTTAAAATGAGTAACGGCGACTGGGTCTGCACCGATAAGCGGTAATTTCTACGTGAAAGAGTTGAAATATCTTCATTATTTCTTCATGTTTCTTCTTTTATTCCTTTTTCAGATGCGGCAATGTGAATTTTGCCCGACGTACTTCCTGCAACCGTTGTGGAAAAGGTGAGAGCATGCCCTTTGCCACGTTTCTCCTCTTTAGCGAACAACGTTATGTTGGTACTTTAACAGATTTAGTAGCCTATTCTTGTGCCAAAGGCGATTTGAAAATTTTTCGAAATTGTTTATTATTCCGTATTTCCTTTAATTTATGTTATAAATCGTCAGCTGTTTAGGAATTCACTTCATTGTTTCAATGTGCACGTTAGCTGATCATAATTTTAAAATTGTAAGATGAAACTTTGCCTGATTGAAATGAGCTTCTAGAGCAAAGTGAGACCTAATTAATTTTGTAATCTTTGGAAAAGATCATCCTCTGATCTTTTGTCCATAGTTTGACCTCCATCGATTTTTGAATCTGTTATGCTAGATAACTATTGTTTCGCTCAAACTCCACTGTCAAGTGATCTCATTAACCTTTTTAGTTAAAGGTTATTTTTGGTAGAAAAGGTGGTGGTTATTCATCGTGGTGAATAACAATAAAAGCTAAGTTTCCGTTTGTCTCACGATGTAGTCACGTGTGATGTAGAACGCGACGTTTCGATGCATACTGCTAGTCTTCTTCAGCCAATGAGGTCGACTGGTCATGCGTGATCTTATAAAGCATGATGCTCTGCTGTGTTTAGTTGTTTTTCAACAGTTCTGATTGGTGCATTTTGATCCTTGCTGATCACCCAGTGATTTGCTCCCTCGGCAGCTCTCCTGTTGTTGTGTTTTTTGATCATGGGCATCAATGCTTCTGGAATTTCTATTCCACTATCCCTGTTGATGTTGTTAGGGTGGAGTCTTATGTGAATTGCCTCATTGACACTATGTGTGTAGTAATAAGGGTCATGATCAATAAACTTTACTTTGTTCCAGAGTGGCTTGTGTCCGGTGTTGTGGGCATGCTCTGAATCAGCAGAGGTCTCGGCACAGGCCGAGGCGAATGTCTCAATCATGCTCCTTAATTCTGTCTTGCATAGGTCTTCCAGTCTCTCCTACGTATACCTTGCCACATTCACAGGGAATCCTGTAAACTACACCGTCTTGTTTAGCCAGGTCGACAGTGGCTAAACAAGATGGCATAGTTTACGGGATTCACATAAGACTGAAGAAGACTAGCATTATGCAGTCAAAACGTCTTGATCTACATCACACATGACTACATCATGAGACTTAGCTTAGCTTTTAAGGTTATTTTTGGTCAGTTATTATGGCATGCTATGATTATCAAACTTTTTCAGAAAAAAAATGAGGATCATGTTCCTTTAGTAGGCATATGGCTCTTCAGGGTTACACATTTGATAAAACGCAATGTGATTATGGTGCTTTGCATTTTATAATTTACTCTTCACTTTTTAAGAAAAGGGAAACATTGACAAAATAAAGCTTACTGGAGCAGAAATTGGGAAACAAGCCGCGGCAAAAAGTAGAGGATTGTTTAGTGCTGATGACTGGATGTGTTCCAAGTATGTCTTCACTGCAATTTGAAATGTTTAATGTCTACAGTAGACCCCCAACTTAGGCGGATGCCTCCTTCCCCATCTCCACCCCTCCCTCCAAAACTAGTGAGAGAAGCAGCAAATATGCTTGCTTAACTATGAACCAAAAGCACCAGGTTTCCAGGCCTGGTTGGATTCAGCGTCTTTTATTCTTAGCTGGACACTTGACCTTCTTTGATCCTCTCCAGCCAGAAGTATGAATAGGAACAGAAAATTTTCATGGTATTATTGTTAATTTCATATTGGTGGAAGGGTTCCTTATTTTCCATTAATTAACTTGTTATGAAATAAATTTTTTTTTGCCTTTAGATGTGGTAATGTAAACTGGGCTCGAAGAAATGATTGTAACATGTGTGGACATCCTAAATTTGCTAAAGCTGAAGTTAGGACAGGTGATTGAATTTTGTTCTTTTTCTTTCTTCTAGTGTTTTCCAAAATCATGAATTATCTTAAGTTACAACTAAGCATTCTTTTATGTTTGATTTAGCCTAGCAAGGGTTTCGATAAAAGCTAGTTATGGGTGGTCTAAAACTGCCTATAAGACCTCTCACTGCTATATGTTTAGGATCTGAGGAGACTTGTGTGTTTGGGTTTTAGCTACCTTTCTGGTTTCTGATGAAAAATGCCATTGAAATCCCCTCCACGATCTGATTATTAATTCTCCAATTTATCAAATTTCTTTGTAAATTAGTTATGAGAATTTGCTGATAGATCAAGACAACAACTTCTACCCGATAAGTTCGAGCTCCCTCATTACCTGTCTGTTGGATAATTTATGAATTTTATTGGGAGAAGTTACATATTAATCACTTCTTTATCTTTCTTTGCTTATGTTCGTAGGATATGGTGGTGGTTTCAATGAACGTGAAGGGGTAGAGTACATCCAAAGAGAAGATTCTGATGATGAATTTGATGAGGTATTTAAAAATCTAGGATAAAATATGCAACACTAAGCATTTTACTTTTTTTTCAAATGATAATTTTATTACATAGATTAATTATTATTGTTTTTACTTTTTAACATAACATATTGCTACCTGTAATCTCATCATTATTATTTCTTTGTGTTATTCAACTTTATGAGATAAGCACTTGAAAACTGGATGTTTGACAAGTACAATTTTTTTTTCATTAGTAATCTTTATTTCTGTTCGGCAGTTTGGTAGAAAAAAGAAAGGAAAGCAGGGTGCTTCTCAAGCAGTTGATGAACAGGTATATTCCGCATTGTCAGTCAAAGTTTAACGTTAAAAAAATTACGAGTTAAACAGATCAAAAAGGTTTTCAGCATACATTGTCTTTAATATTAACCTCTACACCCTAACATCAGTATTTTTTACTCTCTCTACTGTTTTCTATATATTTCTAAGCAGGCTGAGAAGGAAAATTTATTTACAATCAAAAGCTTCTTTAGTTGGTGATCCTTTCCTTTATTCTCATGACCTTAATGGTCAGGGTTGGTTACATAGGGAGAAGCTGCTTTAATAGATTCTTATCACTCTTAGCGGTCAAAGGTTTGAGTCAAAGAAATTGGGATTGTGAAGGACATTGAGCTAGCATGCAAAGTATTTAATCACAGGATTAAACACTGGTAAAAAAAAACTTTCTATAGGTGTATCATATTTCCCCTGTGAGCTGAGTCATAAGAGCTGTGTAGTAAAACTGAGTATTTTCATGACAGAAACCGAAAACAGAAGAACCTAACAACAAAGGGGAGGAAGATGATTATTACAATGATGGTGATGATGATGATGATGATGATGATGAAGAAGGCGACCTGTCAAAATATAACTTGGATGATGAGGTAACACAAATTGTAACTTGTAGAGAGAGATAATTCATGTCTAGAAAGTGAAGTTAATGTGGCAATCATTGTCATAGCCTTCAAAATTCTCTGCATTGTAATCACTCAGTAATGAAAGCTATCCTTCACATTTTACACAGAATTCAATTAAAAATAAGTGTGTATTTTCCCAAAAAAGGTGCTGTCTCAGAAAAGATTATATAGATGAAAGCAAACAGAAAATCACTATTAATAGCGTTGAATCTTTTTGTCACTGAGTTTTGGTTTTTAATCAAAGTTTGCTCTTTTCCTAATCAGGATGATGATGATGAAGATGGTGACTTGTCCAAGTACCAACTTGATGATGATTCAGACAATGAAAACAAGGATAAGGGCCGGTAAACTCCTCCCCCCTGTCTGCCCCACCAATTCTTGATTATTCAGGTGGGGTCAGGCACTCTGCCAATTCTGTCATAGTTCATTTAAAAAAAATTTCTTTTTGTGATATTATTATAGGTGATAATATTATATTTGTGCATATTAAAGATTCTCCCCAGATTGAATCTTACTGTGCAAGCAAAGTCAACCAAAGATAATATATATATAAATTGATTCGTTCTCCCCCCCCTCCCCATGTCTGACAGTCTTAAAGAGGAAAGAAAGCACCTTATCATTACTGTTGTTTTGCTATGTTGTTAAATCCATGTGGTTGATTTATGTAAAATTTTTCAACAATTGCAAAATTGTCACAAACAGATACAATTTAGGAGAACAACTAAATGTGAAACAAAATAAATAATCATCAGGATGAAGGTAGATACCAGTTTTAGAGGTCACATTATTTTCCCTTCTCAGGTTTTGGAAGAAAAAAGCTTTCCAAAACATGCCAGCAACTCTATGATTTGGCTCTGTTTTTTTTTCAAATTATCCCCCCCCTGCAAGAGTGACTGCTTTGATTTGATTACTTTTGATTGTTAGTTTTTAATACTGGTTGTCATCAGTTTTTAATATTTAGTTTATTTTAATCATTGAAATCAGTTTTCCTTTACTTTTATAATTGATTGCCATCACTAACTCTCTAATATGTTTAAACAGAATGTCAGCTGAAGTGAAAGAAAATTGTTGAAAAGATGAATTTCTCAAGAGACTTTATAAGCTGTAGGTTATTGTTGATGACATTAAATCTAATTTCATCTGTTTTTAAACTGCCTATTCTTCAGGCATTCAAGATCAAAGTCAGGTTCTCCTCCCAGTAAGAGAAAGCGGCGTAGTGGAAGTAGTAGTTCGTCTTCCTCCTCATCAAGATCTAGGTCAAGAAGTAGCTCTTCACGATCTCGTAGTCGTTCAAGGTCTCGTTCTAAGAGCTCCAGTTCAAGATCAAGGTCTCATTCACGCTCAGGATCTCCCAAACAAAGTCCAAGGGAGAGGAGGTTTGGTATTTGTGTTATGATCAGGATTGAATGTCTTACATGATTGAATTATCTATGCAGTTACCCAGTTTGATCATAAATTTGATGCATTTAGGGATGGGTTGCCGATGCAGTTAGCCAGTTTGATTATAAATTTGAAGCATTTAGGGATGGGTTGCCAAAGCTTTTTTCCTTGTGAATATGCAAAGCATGGGAATGAGTTATGTGAAGATTTGATTAGCAAATTTTCTTAGAGGAGCATACATCTTAGTAGAGATGGCGCATCAATGTTTTTATTTTATCATTCAGAATACTAACCCACTGCCTAACCAAACTCTCTTTAGTTGATAGAAGCTCAATTTTATTTCTTGGAATCACAGGATTACTGAATTTTAGTACAATCAATGTTCATTCTTATATGTTATAATTCTTATTTGTCCACAAGTTCACCATAGTGTTACTCCGATTTTGTTTCTTTTACTTTTTTCCATCACAATTTTTTTTGAAACTAATCTTTTTTTTTAGAAGGGATGGTGCTGTACTGTTTGAAAAATTATTTTTCTCCCTTTTTTTTAGTGTAAAAATTTTTATTTTCAGCCCAATGGTAATCTTTCCTGGAACAAAATAGTTGGGTTTAGTTCTAAAAGCTGATAGTGGACTTCTGTTTGACCCAAATCTAAATTTTACTTTGACCCCTCTTATGTGGCTAAGATCTGACACTCATTTCAAAGGTTATTGTAGTCTTTTTGATGGCATGTAACTTTTTATCACTGTGTACCCTTCATTATGTATTCAACATTTTTTTCCTCAGCAGAAAGTCCAGATCCCGATCCAGATCAAGATCTAGGTCCAAATCTCATTGAGGTGTGACCAGGAAAGATAGAAACTGCTGTTGTAGGTCGAGTAAGTGAAAGGCTGCAGAGATAATACATGCTAACTGTGGACATCTCAAGTTAGATGGTTCATTTCACGTAATGGATTAGTATGTGGTTAACCTACAAGCTTGGAGTCTTGTTTGTGATATCTAAGAGAGTAGCACTTGTTTTACATGAGGTAGTGCCCAGAACATGGTGGAAAGTAATCAGTGAACTAAGATCTAATTTTTAATTCTCCCCTCCATCTGCTACATGTTTCCTTGTAAATTAATTATAAGAATTTGTTGTTATGTCAAGATAACAACCTCTCCCTGATTAGTTTAAGTATTCCCATTTTCTGTTTGCAGGCTAAGTTATGGATATTACATGGCAGCACAAAGATACAAAATTTCTCCTTGAGTGTTGAAAAATATTGCCTATTCGTGAAATATTTTTCAACAGGAGAAGAGAAATTTTGTATCTCTAAGCAGCCATGTAATATTCTACTTATCACATAAACACCAATGAAATACTAAATCATTTCACTTTAATGTTTATTTTTTTCAAAGTAGAACATGTCACTACTAAAAAGGGGAAGGAGCGTATGGCCTCTAAAGGGTGAAAGAAATATAAATTACATTTCTGTTACAATGTAATAAAGGGTTTTTATCCTAAAATACATGTAATTCAGATCTTCTCCAATATGACAAAGACCCAGTTGTCAAAGGTGCTGCTGTGACAGGTGCAATTTTTATGTTACCATAGCAACATTGACCTTTTTAACTCGTGAATTGCTCGCATGCGCAAGAGTGAGTTGTAGATACACTGTGGGGAGTGGCACTCGCTCGC